CCAGCCCTCAGAGCAGTCATACTTTATTCTAGATTTGGGCTTCTGTCTAAGGTTTCGTTTGAATAAAGGGTTCCTTCCTAACAATACTGATACAACCCTTCTGATACCCCAGTCCCAGTCCCAGCCCTCTGTGGTTCTGCGATCCTAGGATAGGGACCAAGGAGCCCTGGGAGGGAAAGGGCTAACTCCAAGCCTGTGTAACAGAACACTTGGCAATGGTGTTGATGATTCAATGCACGCTGCCGTGACTTCTTAGCCTCAGAGTGTCCAGCTAGAGAAGTGAGGCCATCAGATAAAGGAGAATGGCTTTTGAGTGGAAAAGAAGTCAGGAAAGGAGAATGGGAATCTACGTTAACAGATACGATGCATGCATGGCTGCGACTGTCTTTCCTTGGCTTCTGAATGTGGAAGGGAAAGTGTGCAGTGTTCTGAACCGGAGGGCAGGGTGGGGCCCCTGGCCAGAGGCTCACATGTGCAGTGATGACCGAAAGCCGCTCATAGGCATCTAAGGCCACCAAGTGTCAAGAGTTGGGCAGCCGGTTAGCTCCGTTGGTTAGAGCGCAGTGCTCATAACACCAAGGTTGCCGGTTCAATCCCCACACGGTCCACTGAGCTGCACCCTACACAACTAACTAGATTGAAACAACTACTTGACTTGAAGCTGATGGATCCTGGAAAAACACACTGTTCCCCAATAAAAAGAAAAAAGAGTGGGGGTGGCTAGCTGGTGATTTACAAGGGAAGGAGTAACTGATGCTTTGTGCACTTTGGTCTTCTTCTGGATGGCACATCATATTCAAATGTGATGCCATGATTTAAATGTGATGATAACACTTAGCCACTTGTAGTATTTTCTATTTTTATAGTAAACAGAAAAGTGCTATTTGAGTGGAAATGCAACTTGGGTTTCCTTTTTGGAGCCTTTTGGTTTGGGCTGCAAGCGCAGACACAAGCACCCCCTGGTGGCAGGTACTCAAACTGCAGGCACAATCCCTGGGAAGTTCCCAAGCTTTGGGGTGAGCCCGCCCAGGCTGTCCTTGCCCCCAAGCCTTGGAAGCTTCCCGCCCAGCTCAGCTACCGATTTTCTTCCTGACTCAGGCTGCTCTGACAGAGGGAGGAACCCATGTCCTGTTTCTGCGTCAGATGCAGAGAAGGGAACAGGAACATCCAGTTTGGGGTTCAGTAGAAAGGACTCCGACTGCCTCAGAGATGGGGAGAGCTGGGGGTACTGCCAAGCAAAAGTCACTAAGCAGGCTTTTCCTCTCCCAGCCTCAACCCTCTCAAGGCCCCAGCACAAGATGCACAGTTCAAACATGACACAGGGAAATCGCCTCCTAGGGGGAGGGGTGGTACCAGAGGAGCCAGCAGTGCCCGACTTACACCCTCATGCCTTTCTTCGAGGCAGACCGGACTCTCCTTCATGTGCCACGTGGCTGGGAGTGGGCTGGTGTTCTGGATCTGGATGGAGTTGGTGGCTTTCTGCCCCAGGCGCAGCAAACCAAACTGAAGGGCTGAGATGTTGATGACGAGGGTAGGCCCCTGAGACACCCAGAGGGGCCTGTCACTGGGCCGCCTGGCGGTGGGCTCTGTGCCCTACCCAGGCCGCCTGTCTGGCCCACCCAGCTGCCCGGCCTCCCAGCAGCACCTTAAAGGACGCCTCGATGTGCAACACCACGGGCGAGGGTGAGTCTCTGATTTCACACAGCAGGTCCTGGCTTGTTGGGCCAGGGGCACCTCCAGTAAACTTCAACTCAAACTCCTCGACCTCGTTGGACTCTGAGAGAGAGGGGGAAAGTGAGAGGTGGAGAAGGAAGCCGGGGGTAGGTTTCTTCTGTAGCTGGGCTTGGATGTCTGGCCTTTGCTGACCTCTCGTCCATATGTGCCAGGCTGCAGCCGGAGCTGATCACGGGACACCATGAACCCCTGCACAGGCCCCTTGCACCCTGAGGTCTCCTTCCCCAGCCAGCCCTGGGCCGGTCACGACCCCTGCCACAGTCCCCACAGTACCTATGGTCCCTGTGCAGGGTTCCACTTCAATGATGTGGCAATTGCTGATCTTCCCCCACGTGTACCTGATGGATGACTTGCTGTTGTTCCACATCTGAAAGGCACCCCAATGCAGGCTCCTCAGCACTGCCCTTGCACACACATCTACTATACCTGCTGAAGGACTGTGGGACTATGGGCTCACAACAGGTCCTCTTCACACCCTCCCAGCTAATTTCTAATCATCCAGCTGCACTAACACCACATTGCCAGGTTTGCAGGCGCCATGTCCTGCCAAAGACCCATGTACACAGGAATGGGTTTCTTAGCCCTGTCATTTGGAGGATGCTGGGAAGCTGATAAAATGACAGACATGCCCAGCCCAGCATCTGTGCAAATCAAGTTGGTTCAGGGGTTCTGGGAACAGACTCATCCTCTAAGAGGTGGCTGCCACCGTCGGCCCCTGCAGCCACATGTTCCTTATACCTGTGCCCAAGTCCAGTGCCATCTCAGCTCCCCTAGGCTGCGGAGAAACAAGGACCTACCTTAAAACTTTTCTTCACGTTTAGGCCAATGTAGTTCTCCCCGGGGATGATGAGGGCATACGGTTCTAAGAGAACCTGGAAAGGTTCTACTGAGCCTTTCACCTCGATTTCCAGGACGATCACATCATCCACAGAGTATGACAGCTCCGTCAGGTTTTCCAGTTCTGAACTGAACACAAACCCACCATGAGCTAGGAGCCAACCCAACCCAGTAGCTTGGCCGTGCAAGCCCCTCACTTCTTTTTCTTGTGAAAAGAAAATGCTCCCCTTCCCGCAGCTCCCAAGCCCCTTAAAATCAGAGGCATCAGCCAATGTCCCGAAACAGTGATGAATGCCTGTGGCTCTGACAGCAACGTAATCTAAGGCCTGAGACGGAGCGCCTTCCTGCTGCCTTCAGGGACCAGGCTGCAGCGCAAGCCTGGGATTTCTACACAAGGCTGACTGGAGATCTACCCTGACAGGTGCTTTAGGGGAAAGCTGGTAGCGATGCCCGCCATGGGGCAAAACCTTTCCTCACTGGTCACCACCATCTAGGGGCCACCAGCCTAGCTGCGCAGTTCCAGGGTGGCCTGCAGGTCTCACACTGAGTCCAGTGGGCTCTGTTTCCTGCATGTGGAGCCCACTCCAGGCCTAGGTGCCAGGGCAAGGAACACGTGCTCCCTTGTGTCAATGCCTGCAGGGGGTCAGGTGGCTCCTTCACTCCTTCCCTTTGCTTTCCCAAGCATTCCCATGGGGAGGGCAGGCCCCGCTGCCCACCTCTCACCCAGGGCCCAGTTCCTGCTCACCTCATGGGCTCTGGGACTTCCTCTAGCACCATCTGGAGCACACTGTGAGAATCCCTCGGCTGCAAGACAAACACAGCACCTGCAGACAAACTGCATTCCAGCCAGCCACCCAGAGAAGGTGGGAGGCATAGCAGGACTTCCTCCTCCCCTTGGCCCAGCCACCAGAAAGGCCTTCTGAGAGACATACTGCTGCTGCCCTGCTCCCTCTGGGGAGGGAGGCGTGGCTGCCAGGACGTGTGGTGTGCCTACCTCAGCTGGGCCTGGGGGACAGGAAGGAAAGCCTGTCCAGAACCAAACATTGCTCCTTGGCAATGCCCCCAATGTGTTGGAGGCACTACACCCTCCCAGGACAGACAGCGACATGGCTGGATGCTGGGTAGAGAGGCAGCCCTGCTCATCTTACCAACAAGGGTCCCTGAGCACCCCCTTCACCCCCAGCTCTTACTCTCCTCTCACCCATTACACACATGGCTGAGCAGGGAGCTGTGTTAACCTCGCCCTTGGGAATTGTGCCTCACTCTCCCTAGGGGCCACTAGGGGCTGGGCAGGGATGGGGATGCCCATACTACTTGGCATAGTAGAAATACAGAAGACCCAGAGCTGAGGAACCGAGCCCAGGGTACTGCTGCTGCTGAGGTGTGTGCAGGATCAGGACCAGACAAAACGAGCGTCTTCATCCTGACACCAGCACATCCTGCAGCCCCCCTCAGCTAAGTGCTGGCTTTGGCAGGATGCTGGAGACCTGGTCAGGCCCAGCTGTGGCTTCAGTGTCACTAAAGAACCTGGCCAGAGGGTGAAAATATCAGGCCCCAACCATGTATGACTATCAACATGGCACCATTTTAACCTCGTGAGGAGAAAAGCTCAGGATGAAGTCGTGGTCCGTGTGAGGGTTGAGAACCCCCCGCTCGGGCGTGATGGAGAAGGCCGTCTCCCTGTCGGGATGGCACTTGATGCTGTCCATGCTAAAGCTTTCTCCGGGCATCAGGGGCTGCAGGTTGGGTTTCATGATCTGCCAGTGGAAGGCCAGCTCCACGTGCCTGTGAGGGCAACACTGACAGTAGGCAGCGGACCCCAGGCCATGTCCCAATTCTGTCAGGACCAGGCCCTCTCACCCCCTGCCTGGCCTGGCCCGGTTCTGGAAGCAAGCAGGAAAGGACCCAGGAACAGGAAGTGGCCAGGTCAGCCTTCGGGCCCTTCCCATGCAGAAGCCTAGGTAAGGGGCATGACGTAGGTCAGAAAGTCTAAGCTGGAGACCACCTAAGACAGCCCCTCCATCCATACCCATAGCAGCTGGAGGTTAGAGCCACAGGGACTCAGGGGAAATGGCGAACACAGGGAGTCATGCTCCCATCACTCATTAAACTGCAGGGCTCTAGGCATCCCCCCAGATCTCAGAAAGCGTTCTGCGGTGTCTCCTACCACAATGAGAGTTGCCACATTGACCCCGGCCCCTGCCTTCCACCTCTCCAGGGAAGCTATCGCCTCCCAGGACAGCTCTGGCCAGAAAGATATGTGCCCACTGGCTGCCAACAGGAGCAGTGACAATTCCATGATAGTAGGAGGGGAGGGACTCCAGGTGTGCTGCTGATGGCAGCTGTCAGGGGGTAGTGATGGCAACTGAGTGCTGTTCATCATGCTGGGTGACAGAAGCCCAGGTAAGCCCCGGGGTCACCAGGGCAGCTTGGCCAGGGGACTCCATGAGGTGTGTCCTGGTGTAAGGGCGCTGCTCTGAGAATTGTCAGGAAAAACAGGCCAGTCTGTCTGACTTCGGGACTTGGATGGCTTCGGGCAGGGCAAGAACTCTCTGGAACACTGTTCCTGGCTAAGGATGGTCTAGGATGACCTGGAACAGCACTGTCCCATATAACTTCCTGCAGTGATGGAAATCTTATATATCTGTGCTGTCCGATATGACAGGCACTAGCTACATGGGTGGCTTTTGAGTACTTATAATGTGGTGACGTTTTTATTTTTATTTAATTTTTGTTGATTTCACTTGAAATAGCCACATGTGGCTAGTGGCTCCCGTGATGAACAGTGTAAACCTGGACCCTCCCATTCTGTGCCCAGACTCCTCCCTGGCCCTTGGAAAAACCTGCTGCTTCCCTGGGATCTTAGGGCCAGGTGAGGAAGGAGAAGGGGCGTGCGTTGGGGGCTCCCACACAGGGGTCACTCACGTAGCATTTCTAATAATCAGCTGTCTCCTAGCTGTGGACTGAAGGTTTTCAGGCTCAAAGCGTATGAAGTGCTGGGCTGTTAGGTCTGTGAGCTCTCCAGGCTCTGGCTGACTTTTCTCACCAGAAATATAGATCAGATCCAAAGCAACCAGCTGCCCGATTCCTGACAAAATAGGTTGGTGGTGTTTCACCAGGGCTGAAATCAGGACTCTGTAGCAGTCTGTCACTGGACCCATCCAATGCAACTGGCCTTGATCATGACCCAGGGAAGTGCACACAAAAGGAGAACAGGGGGCCTTTAACACTCAAATTCATGTCCCCACGTCTTCACAGACCAAAAAGAGGTGATTTTGATAACTTGGCACATAGCAGGCAATCAATTAATGCTTGCTGAGTGAAAGTGGATGAAAGAAAGGGAGGGAGGGAAGGAGGGAGGGAGAGAAGGGTCAGGCAGGTGGGCATCTTGGGGAAATCCAGCAGGATGCTCCTTCTAACCTTACAGAAACTTAGGGGTGCCTCTGGTTGGATATGTGTGAGTCACTGGCAATTCTCCAAAGGAGATCGAGGGGAGTTTCAAAGTGAAACAATGAACGATTTCACCCCAGGTTTCCATCTACACTCATTAGAAGGCTTCCTGGGACGTCTGAAGGCTACACTGGCTTGGGTCTCCAAGGTCTGACCAGAGCAAGAGGCTCCAAACTAGATCCTGATGCACGGAGGCTGCAGCGCCCCGTCAGTGTGGCCCCTCACCCAGAGTGGGCACAGCTGTGCCGCTGCCAGTGCCAGTGCCAGGGCAGCAGCTTCTAGAACCCAGGGGTCCACTCCAGCCCGCCTACAGGTGCACACACAAGCCCACCTGAAGTCACCAGCTCCTTTATCTGGCAGTTGTCACACACGATGATGAAGGTCTGCTCTGCCGGTCCGAGGCTTGTTGGGAGGAACAAGACCTGGGAGAGAGAAAGTTGCCCTGATTCCTCCCACTAAAGGGCTTCCACTCCCACTTTCAGGCCTCCTTTTCTCAGACACACCCCTCCCTTTACCACCCCCAACTTTCTGGTCTCCTCCCTGCGACCTCCCCACCTGCTACCTAAGGTTAGGGAGTTCAGCCACACTCCACCCCAGAGCAATGCAGGGAGCATGTTAAAAGGATATGAACAGAAAGTTCACAGAGACTGAAATATAAACGACAACATGTTTAACCTCATTCATAATAAAAGAAATGTAAATGAAAACCACCCAGAAGAACAAGTTTTCACTGTTTATACTACTGACAAAGAGCAGAAAGTTAGCTAACATCAATGCAATGATATGATATCTTGATTGGCTTCAAAATAATCTGCAGGGGCAGGGTGGGGATTGGTTGGAAGGACTGCAAGAGTGCAGATGCAGTGAAGTTGGCCAAGAGTTGATGAACGTTGAGGTTGGGTAATGAGTACATGGGTGATCATGAAACGATTCTATTCTTGTATATATTTTTAAATGTCCGAGATAAGAGTTAAAAAAAAAA